GCATTGTCACAACTTCACTCTACTGTTTCCAAAGAAACATAGGAAATGTTGAATTGGATTCCACCAATGGGCCACATCTAGTCTGGTATCCTGTCCCTGATTGAGCTGAGGCCCAGCTGCCTCAGGGGAAGCTGCAAGAAATCCCCAGTGAACAATTCTGGAATTACCAACACATAGGGGAAGTTTCTTCCCCACCCTGGCAGTTAGTGACTGCCTTATGTCATAGGCCTAAGGGATTATACTCCTTTTAAAAACAATTATTTTATTCTATGTAACATAACTGTGGAGATTCTCACTTTCTGTATAAATGGCTAATTCTTTTATTGAATTCTATTGAACTCTTGGCCTTATGGAAACCATGTGGCAATGAGTTCCACAAGTTAACCCTGCATTCTATAACAGGGCATTCCCTTTTACTAGTTAAAATTTGTTGCCTTCAGTTTATTCTTGTTTTACGAGAAAAGGAAAATGGCACTCTCTAATTTGCCACTGTCTCATTTATTATTTTGTATATCTCCATCATGTTTCTTTTTATGTGTCTTTTCTGCTAATTAAACATCCCAATTTCACCTTTATAAATCTCTCCAGACCTCTCATCATTTTCAACACTTTTAGAACTAGGATAATCAGAACTGAACCTAGTATCCCAAGGAAGAGTGCCCCATTGATTCATATAATGGTGTTATAATATCTTCACATTATTCTCCATCCCATCATTCTTTATGTTTGCTAACATTTTGTTTGCTTTATAGACCTAGCAGCACATTGAACAGAGATTTTCATTGAGATTTGCACCGACTCTCCACAATGCTGGCCCGGTCTCTTTCTGAGTTGATACAGCTCATTAACAATCCAGTGAAATTATTCCTCACAATGTGCATTACCTTGAATGTGTGTCAGTGAATTTCACCTGATGTTGCGTTGCCCATTCACCCAACTCGGTTAGATCTCTGAAGTTCCTCACTGTCGTCCCTAGTCCTGACTGCCCCAAAATAATGTGCCATCTGCACACTAGGCCACCCGACTCCTCCCTTTTCCACATTGTGACGCTTTTTACCTCGAGGGAGCATCCAGTACTCCCATGTTCATCCTTGTAAAATTATTAAGAACATAAGAATGGCCCTACTGGGTCACACCAAGGGTCCATCTAACTCAATATCCTGTCTTCCGACAGTGGCCAGTGCCAGGTGCCCCAGAGGGAATGAACAGAACAGGTCATCACCAAGTGATCCATCCCCTGTCGCTCATTCCCAGCTTCTGGCAAACAGAGGGTAGGGACACCATCCCTGCCAATCCTGACTAATAGCCATTGATGGACCTATCCTACATGAATTTATCTAGTTCTTTTTTGAACCCTGTTATGGTCTTGGCATTCACAACATCCTCTGGCAAGGAGTTCCACACATTGACTGTGCATTGTGTGAAGAAATACTGCCTTTTATTTCTTTTAAACCTGCTGCCGATTAATTTCATTGGGTGACCCCTAGTTCTTGTGTTATGAGAAGTAGTAAACAACACTTCCTTATCTACTTTCTCTACACCAGTCATGATTTTATAGACCTCAATCAAATCTCCCCTTAGCTGTCTCTTTTCCAAGATGAAAAGTCCCAGTCTTATTAACCTCTCCTTATACGGAAGCTGTTCCATACCCCTACTCATTTTTGTTGCCCTTGTCTGAATGTTTTCCAAGTCCAATATATCTTTTTTGAGATGGGGCGACCACATCTGCACACAGTATTCAAGATGTGAGCGTACCATGGATTTATATAGAGGCAACCATATAGATTATGTGGTATCCAATGCAAAGTTTGTCATGTCGGGTTGTCTTCGGAAGGCTCATGATGCACTGAGCATTGTTGTTATAGTGATGTTATAGTAATGTTATAGGTTATAATTTCAGGTATATAGTTATGAGGCTGAAAATGTATCCTTATGGCTTAAAGCAAGCCCAGGGAAAAACTCTCTAAAAGCAGAGGGACAGTTCACACCTCATCCAGGCATGTATGGGACCAGACCAGACCAGACTCACAGGAACAAAGGACACTGGCCTAGGCAGCAACAAAGGATCTGTTGGACTCTTGAGTGAGTCACCCCTCTTCCCTTGGTCAGTTTGGGACTGGGATGAGGTGATGCTCACCTGACTCTGAAAGGGGGGGGCAAAGACAAAAGGAAAGAAAGAACATGATAAAAGGGAGAAACATTTGCCCTGCTCTTCCTCCTCCACCTACAGACATCACCACCAAGCGACTGAAGCGCTGATCAAAGGGGAGAGCCTGGCTGAAGGGCAACCAGCCAGCCTGTGGTGAGAAGCCTCTAAGTTTGTAAGGGCACTGAAATGTTAAGATCAGCTTAGAATGCGTTTTGCTTTTATTTCATTTGACCAAATCTGACTTGTTGTGCTTTGACTTATAATCACTTATAATTTATCTTTGTAGTTAATAAATCTGTTTGTTTATTCTACCTGAAGCAGTGCGTTTGGTTTGAAATGTGTCAGAGACTCCCCTTGGGATAACAAGCCTGGTGGATATACATTTTTTTGTTAAATTGACAAACTCATATAAGCTTGCAGCGTCCAGTGGGCATAACTGGACACTGCAAGACGGAGGTTCCTAGGGTTGTGTCTGGGACCGGAGATATTGGCTAGTGTCATTCGCTTGCACAATCCAAGGAGCAGCTCACATGCCAGAGGCTGTGCGTGAACAGCCCAGGAGTGGGGGTTCTCACAGCAGAGCAGGGTAAGGCTGGCTCCCCGAGTCAAGGACTGGAGTGACCTAGCAGATCACCGGTCCAGATAGCACCAGGGGAACGTCACACACACCCTATAGATTTGCTGTGCCGTGTCTGAGGGGCCACACCTGCTCTGTCAGGGCTCCTGTGGACTCTGTACGGGGCGTGTGTGTGTTGAAGACTCGCAGTGGTTTGGGGCCTTCACCTGCCTTTCTAGTGCTCCCATCGCCAGGGTGTCTAGGCACCTTCTCTTTCCTCAGTGAGCACCTGGGACCCAGTGTCCACCCACCCTAGCCCGAGGCCTCTCTAGCAGCAAGAGTCGTGGCAGCCTGTCTCCCACAACCCTGGTGGCAAGTCCCCAACTCAGCGTCCCTCTCATCAGCTCTCCCTGAAGTGGGGTTTTCAAATCTCCGCAGCAAATAGCCCCACCCAAATATTTCTCGTCTTCAGCCCAGTACTCACCGCCCAGATACGCGCAGTTAAAATGGCTGCAGGTCCGGTTTGTGCTCCGTAGGACAAAGCTGTTACTCCCTTGTCCTCGGGCCACATTGAATATCTCATGGACTGGGATTAGCACTTCTTCCTCCTCCTGAAAGTGTGAGAAGTTCCTGATCTCAGCACCAAAGCACGTGTGGATAGTGAACAATGTGGCATTGCCAAATTTCTTAGCTATTCTTTTATCAAAAGACGAAGAGGCGAAGTATCCAAACCTAATGTGACCTGATCCCGTGTGCTGAAATCTGACAGAAACTCCCCGATACAACGTCATTTTGTACATCACATCACACCTCCCTCGTAAGAGCTGTAATGCTCTTGTCAAGTAATAATGAAAGGCTTTGAACTGGAAACTGGCCATGTAATGAGCTCGAGATGTCCCATTCTCTCTCACTGCCGCATTCAACTCACTGTGAAAGTCATTGTCAGTATAGGCTATTATGGCTCGTCCATGCTCATCTTTAAAGCCTGTGGGCAGAGGAATCTTTTTCTTTACAAGTTCCCATTTTTGTTCTGAGTTTTCCCACACCCTGCTAAACACTGAGGGCATGAACTTTTCTTCCTTTAGCAGTTCAGGTGCAATTCCATCCATTTCTTCAGCACATTCTATATATTGGTCATCAAAAGCGTCATCCATCATGCTCAGCTCCACCTGGCATTTTGCCTGGGAGAATAAAAGAAACATACAATCACATTGGCATTTGTGTTACAATAGCACCTAGAGGTCACACCCAGGATCAGGGCCCCATTGTGCTCGGCCCTGTACAAACACACTAGGAATGGCCTCTGCCCTAGAAGCTTACCTCTAAAGAGACAAGGCAGAGGAAAGGGGGGAGAAAGGGATGGAACACACAAGCAGAATCCTCAGTGTGTTGTTTGGCAAATGTCCACATTGGTGCCTTGATTTTTGGGAGGGAGGAGCGGGGTGGGGCTGATGGATTTGTAGCTGCCCTGTAATAATGGATTAATACTGTCTGTTGCCCGGTTCCTGGGGAAAAGAAGCAGGGATGGATACAAGAGGTCTGGGAATGCAGGTGATCAGAAGGTCTGTGTCGGGTTTAAAGAGGAACACTCATTTAAGAGGGGAGAGGGAGTTGTTTGGGGGGGGCCAGGCTCTGGCGCAGGTCCTGCTGGGGTGCAGAGCCTGCCTACATTAGCCCAAGGGGATGGTAGCCCTTTAGGTAAGACCGATGTGAGTGTGGACTGTGGGTTGTTTTAAAAATCTGTTTCTCTAAACAATTTGTTCTTACAGTAAAATGAACAACACTTTGTTTGGTATCAGCAGATACACCACTGGGCACCGACTCCCAAAGGGACGAGCCACTGGGACCTGAACTCAGCCGGAGCTGCTGGAAAGCATGATGGACTCACAGGTATCGCCGCTCTGGGCCCTGTCTGAGAGAGGGAGAATCACAGGATTCCTGCCCAGGAGGGTAAAGGCACAAGGCCTGACACCCGAAGGGCTGCACTCAGAGACCAGTGAGCCACGTACCCATGACAGAGGTGTTTTTAGTTTACTGGGCTGTGTCTAGATGTAGGGTTAGGAAGAAGGCAGGAAGGGATACATTAATAGGGAAGACAAAGCAGGGAGAACAAGGAACATAGAAGGAAGGGAGCTAGGAGAGACTGAGATCCCAATCCATTCCCACTGGGATATCTAAAATCACACCCATTTACCTCAGGGGGAGGCAGCGGGTTGCCATCTCCGTATGCCAGGCATGCACTGCATGCTACAGGGCTGGCGATGCCCGTGGGAAGGTTCCATCCAGGATCCAACCCCCGAATGCACATGGAGGGAGGCAACACCGTTGTGGTGGGTTGTATAAACCCCACACTGGTTAACCAGGGGTTGACAGGAGCCTGAGCCCCTTTAGGCTACTGGGTAGCACCTGGAGGGCGTTACGCATAGGTGGTGATCAAACCCAGCTGGGGACGTTCCCTTGTGGGCTAAAGGCAGAGAGAGGCCTGGAGCCAGAACTGGAGGGCCCGGAGCCAGGAGGAGGCCTGGGAGGCTGGGGGCAGTGAAGACTGTGGCCGGAGGTGAGTTGCCTCGGGCCAGGAGGAAGCCGGCGGCAGTGTTGGTAAAGCCTAGGGGGTGTTTGAGGGGCGGCAGGGAGGGGGGGAAGACCTCGGCAGTCCCTCTCCTGGCAGTAAAGAGCAGAGAGACCTGAGGGGAACGGGGAGGCTCCTGCAGGGTGAGGAGGAAGCCTGAGCCAGGCAGAAATTAGTTTAATTTTGTCCTTTTTGTTTGGGATTGTGTTGGGGGATTCCCCGGGGGATCCCTGTGAGCCCGGCCCTGAAAGAAGGATGAGCCGGGAGAGGCTATGCGGGCTGGGAAAAGCTGTGGTAGGAAGATATCCAGGGAGGCAGCAGCAAGGAGTCTGACAGAGCAGACCTTGGCTGCTGGTCAGATGGTCCCTGGCCTGGAACCACTGTGGAAGTGAGTGTGGGGCCCTGATTAGACAAACACCTGTCCGGGCTGGTCTCGGTGCACTTGGTCCGGCCTCAGCACACAAGGCTGCACTAGATGACCTCTCGAGGTCCCTTCCAGCCCTGCATGTCTATGGGTCTAAGGCAGTATGGCTGCCTGCATAGCCTTGAGCAGAAACACGAGAAAACACAGAGTGTTTCCCTGGCAAAGCTCAAGAGTTTACCTGAGGGATTCCCAGCCAGGTCTGAAGACAGAAATATGTCAAGGGGATCAGCAGAGGCCTCAGCATGGTTCCAACTTCCCCGGTGCGGCTGCAGGAGAATCCATCAGGAACATCAGTGGAGATTTGTGGGGAAAGAACACATCAAACCCAAACATCCTCCCCATTGTTTCACTGTGATCTATTGTTCCACATTCAGTGACTGGGCTTTCCCAGGCAGGAATTGCTATCTCACGGACTGCAGCCCGGCCGTAATGGAGGTTGGTTTGACCCTGAAATACAGTTCTCAGCTGGAGGGGTGGGGAGTAGTTGTGGGGAAATCCTGCTTTCACTTCCTAAAGGACTCTGGGGGGTGGAAATACTGTACCTAGTGCTGCTGTGTTTACTCGAAACTCCTGCACAATACACAGAACCCAACAGGCCGAACAGGTCTGTCAATCGTATCCTAGAACAGCGGTTTTCGAACTTTTGTAGTGGTGACTCCTTTCACACAGCAAGCCTCTGTGTGCGACCCCCCCCCCTAAATTAAAAACACACTTTAAAAATACTTAACACCATTATAAATGCTGGAGGTGATGTAGGGTTTGGGGTGGAGGCTGACAGCTCGCGACCCCCCACGTCATAACCTCGCAACCACTTGAGGGGTCCCGATCCCCAGTTTGAGAACCCCTGTCCTAGAGAACGGGGCTAAAATAACAATATAACTGAATATTTCAGTGCCTCACCTATTTGCTGCAGACCATTTCTCCAGTTTGTCCAGATCATTTCGAATTTTAATCCTATCCTCCAAAGTGCTTGCAAACCCTCCCAGCTTGGTATCGTCCGCAAACTTTGTGTCCTCTCTATGCCATTATCTAAATCATTGATGAAGATATTGAACAGAACTGGACCCAGAACCAGTCCCTGTGGGACCCCATGTGTTATGCCCTTCCAGCATGACTGTGAACCACTGATAACTACTCTCTGGGAACAGTTTTCCAACCAGTTATGCACCCACCTTATAGTAGCTCCATCTAGGTTGCATTTCCCTAGTTTGTTTATGGGAAGGTCATGTGCGACAGTATCAAAAGCTTTACTAAACTCAAGATATACCATGTCTACCGCTTCCCCCGTTGAAACAATTTGTATTTGACAAATCCATGCTGACTGTTACTTATCACCTTCTTATCTTCTAGGTGTTTACAAATTGATTTCTTAATTAGTTGCTCCATTATCTCTCTGGGTACAGATATTAAGCCAACTGGTCTATGATTCCCTGGGTTGTCCTTATTCCCCTTTTTATAGATGGACACTATATTTGCCCTTTTCCAGTCCTCTGGAATCTCTCCCGTCTTCCACGACTTTTTGAAGATAATCGCTAGTGTCTCAGATATCTCCTCAGTCAGCTCCTTGAGTATTCCAGGATGTATGTCATCAGGCCCTGGTGACTTGAAGACATCTAAATTGTCTAAGCAATTTTTGACTCGTTCTTTCCCTATTTTAGCCTCTGATCTTACCTCCTTTTCACGTGCATTCACTATGTTAGACATCCAATCGCTACTCACCTTTTTGGTGAAAACTGAAACAAAAAAGTCATTTAGCATTTCTTCCATTTCCACATTTTCTGTTATTATTCACCCCGCTCATTGAGTAACAGGCCTGCCCTGTCATTGGTCTTTCTCTGGCTTCTAATATATTTGTAGAATGTTTTCTTTTTTACCCTTTATGTCTCTAGCCAGTTTAATCTTGTTTTGTGCCTTGGCCTTTATTTTGTCCCTACACTGAGCAGCTGTAATAGCCTAGCAGTCTGGACAGTGTTAACACAGCAACGACATTCGACAGCACTTAACACATAATACTACAGATGTTTTTCTATATGTTATTTATTTAAGGTGATACCTTGTAAATGTATTGAATAGAACCTTATGTGAGGGGGCTGCTGGTCCCGCACTGAAACTCAGAGGGAGGGTCAACTAAAAAACCCCACTTTCTCCTTGATTGAGAAAGGGTGGAAGAGAAATCAGGATCCTGAGGCTGACAGTCCCCAGAGCCAATGGGAGAGGCCAACGCTCCAGGTCAGCCTGATTGACAGGGCAGGCAGGCCAATGAAGGAGTCAGGAGCCTGGGGACCGGTGTGAGCTGGGGCTGCCAAGGGCAGAGTAAAGGAGAGATCTGCAGTCAGAGCTGGGCTGGGGGCAGAGCTGGGGCAGTGCAGGCCAGTTGCCCTGTTGAGGATCCAGGGCTTAGCTATAGTGAGGAGCCGCGGGCCCAGAGACAGGATAGCGGATGCCGGCTGTGCCACATATAACACTGCAGCCAAGCGCAGTGAGTGACTGGGAGAGCCGGGGGGGCGGGGAGGGGGAGTGCAGTGATACATCACCTGACAAGAGCCCTTGCAAGCTGGGACGTGTGAGGAACAGACTGTGAACTTCCCTTACGTCCCAGAGACACTGTTTATGGTTTCCCCTGTGCCCACAGTGTGGGTTCCCTGTTTCCTTTAACCTTTCCCATTTTCCCTTATTTCTCTTGCTGCTGTTGTTTAATAAATTGTATGTGGTCTGAACTTAATGACGTAATCAGTGGGTCAAGAAAGTCACTGGTGAGGAGAAAGCACCCTGGAGTGGGGCCACCCTAGACCCTGTCCTAAGTGAGTAGCACAAGATTGGGCGTCGAACCCCAGTAATCCCAGCCTTGGGGTTAATGCACAGTTGCCAACTTTCACATGGTAAATAAGCACCCTGACTTTCAGAATAAGCCAAAAATCAACCTAATCCTATTGAAAACAAGAGCAAAACAAGACAATCCCCAAAACCCCAACACGCTATGTGACTAGTCCCCCAGCATGCAGTCTGGGACTGTGGTGGGCTCGCTGTGTACCCCTGACTCTCTCCCCCGTTTTCCCCTTGTCCCCCCTTGCTCCACTTGTCCCTGCTTGCCGGGAGCCGATCAAAAAAAAGAAGCAACAAGCTACAAGCCAAAAACTAGCCAACAAGCAACTCACAAGCCAATTAAGCCAAAACCAAGCCCAGCTGCCCTGGCAATCTCTGGGAAGAGATGAACAGCTTTCTGCCTGGGAGGTTCACTGATGCTATGAACGGATCGTCTCGGTGGTTGTATCAATAGAGGACAGATCTTTAAAATGAACAAACAGGGATGTTTGCACTCTATGGAAATAGTTGCAGTCAAAGTGTGTTATGATGTAGATGTGGGCACAGTAAGTGGATTCTTTGTTTTCACTCCCTAGGGTTTGAAATATTTCTGTAGCTTCCCCCTGTCCTGAAACTTTTCTAGTCTTGTGTAAGCAGAGTCAGGATGAGCTCTACCCTGACATCTGCTGGTGAATTATGGCGAGTGTGGAAAAGAACTCAAGGGGCTGATCTTGTTTGCATAGGCACACCCACCCGCCTGGCATGAAACAACAGCAACTGATAGTGGTTACTTTGGATGGGGTGGGATCCCAAGTTTCTCTGTTATTGGGGCAGGAGGAATAAAGTGTTGTAACCCTGATTATGTGAATCAAGGACAATGAAACTGTTTTATGACAGAGGGTCTCACCATCACCTAAGTAGCACTCGCTAGACAAGGGACATGGGTTCCACAACCCAGTGATTTGAGAAAGGATGGGGGCAGGTGTTTGTACCTGATAGTATGGGCTGCTGCCTTCTTGAGGGCCTGAAACACCAATTGTACCATTTTCTCTCTCCACTGTTGACTGTCAGAGCTAACTTTGATTCTATTTAGGAGTCTAGTTACAGGCTGCTGAGCTGAATTCACTTTGGGCCAATGGTGCACCAGCACTGGGGCTCCCCTACTGTGAGCTGAAATCACAAAAGAGCTGAAGTTAAGAGCTGAGATCACTGAGTGCTGTGTTAACTAGTGGGGGAGCCTGAAGCTATATTACTAAGCAGCTGGTGGAGCTGTTTGTGGGGATGGCTGGAGGAGCAGCGAGCGGCGCGGAGCCTTATGGGGACGGTTGGAGCGGCCCAAGGAACGGTGAGTGGAGCCGTTTGCGGGAGCGGCTTGTAGAGCAGAGCAGTTCGTGGGACGGCAGGAAGTGGACTGGCTCATGGTGAAGGCTGCAGCGGAACCCCACGGAGAGATGGCCGGCCGGCCAGCCTTGGATCACGTAAGGTGCCCCTTAACACCCCGCGTGCCCCCCTTTTACTCTGGGGCTGCACTTACCAGGGACAGAGACTTTGGGGGTTGTTGGACTTTTGGGACTTTGGGTGGTTGCTGAACCCAAGAGACTTTGGGGGTGTTGGACTTTGGGGATTCTGGGTGATTTTTGGGTTGCTGGATTCAAGAACCAAAGGGAAAGGACACAGCCCAATTTGCTGGGGTGGGTCTTTTGCTCATGGTTTGTGTTATGAATCCTGTTTGTGGTGTTTTTCCAATTTAATGCTGATGTTGTTTACCTCATGTTATTAAACATTTTCTGTTACACTCAGACTCCGTGCTTGTGAGAGGGGAAGTATTGCCTCTTAGAGGCGCCCAGGGGGTGGTATGTAATTTTCCCAGGTCACTGGGTGGGGGCTCGAGCCGGTTTTGCATTGCGTTATTGAAACAGAACCCCTAGATACAGAACGCGGCCCTTGTTGCTGCCAACTTAGATGGGCAGAAGGCTTACACTTGTAACAAATTTGTGATCTAAAATCAACTCAATGGAAAATGTTGGACTTTTGATTCTAAGCACCAAATTCTGCCCTCTGAGATAGTAATTTGTATTACAGAACCACCTAGCGATCCCACCTTGGAGTGGGGGCACATCGTGCTGGGGGCTGCACATAGGGACGCAGTCCCTCTGCTGAGGGGTTTGCAGTCTGAGACAGTCAAAGGCTGGTAGAGAAAGAAGTAAAGTGACTTGCCCAATGTCACACACAGCAGGCCAATGACAGAGCTGGGACGAGACCCTAGATCACCTGGCTCTCAAACCGGTGCTTTACCTACCAGACCACAGCACCCCACAGGTACATTGGGGCTGGACAGATGTAGCTGTGGTGAGATTTGTATCATTGACTTTTTTTGCATTTATAACTTGTTATTAATTTTTCCAAATACAACAAATAGTCCAAACTACCAGATTCATCATAATACAAACAGTAAGTAAAGGCGGGTCAGGCCAAAGGGGTGAGGAAGCAACATATCTATCTTCAGACTCTGCATTAATCACAGAGCTCTAAGAAGTCAGCGCAAAGACTGCGGAATGCAGTCGTTGGTTGGCTGCGAGGTCGGCCATATCACTGAGCCAGGCATTAACGTTTGGTGGGGATGGACTTTTCCATTTTTACAAGATGAATGTTTCAGCGACCAAAGCAGATTTGTATCACTGGCTAAACCACAGACCAACCTGCTGTCTAGAGATGAATGCAGCACAAGTGTCTGTAATGAGGTTAATGAAGAGTAAGAATTTAAAGCTGTTACTAGACCTGACTTCCCCGAGTGGCTGCGATTCCCGGGCAGGCTGCTGACCCAAGCAAGAGATGGCTGCAGACTAAATACTACAGCTGCAAATGTTTCTACCACAGGAAATGGCCTGTCTTTAGCTAAGAAACCTCCCTGTTGATGTTCACTTTCAGAATTAATGGAATTGTTTTTAGCAATAAGGGGCTGAGCTAAATCTCACTGAAGCCAATGGAAAGTCTCCCATTGATTTCAATGGGTTTGGATCAGGCCTGTACAGACTCAAAAGGTTACTGTGATCTAGGGCCAGGGCTCCTGAGTATTCCCAATATCACCTATTTCCAAATATATCCACAAAACTACCCCGTTTTATCCTGTGAATCCTGTTGGAGATTTTTTTACCTCCCTGAACCAGATGTTAAAGCCAAGTAAAGACTCCAAACACTCTGGTATTTTAGGGGCAACAGCTTATTTGGAAACAACATGTAAGCGGGGGAATGGTCCCACTATTGTGAGGAACTTTCCTGGCTTATACACCACCCCTGTGCTAGTGAAAGAATCTGAGTCTTCGCTCCCACTTACCCAGAGGCCTCCCTGCCCTTGAGGACTCCCCTTCCATTTTCTTGTGTGGCAGAGTCCTCGTAACCCCAACAAGGCTGGGCCCAGGATTCCATCCCCCCTCCTTCTGCTGCTCGCTCTCCACCATCCTCACTCATTTTCACCGGGCTGGGGCAGGGGGTTTGGGTTTTGGGAGGTGGGTGAGGGCTCTGGCTGGGGTTGCAGGCTCTAGGGTGGGGCTGGGGATGAGGGGTTTGGAGAGGGCTTCGGGCTTGGGCAGGGAGATTGGGATGGGGGGGTTAGGGACTCTGGGCTGGGGGTGCAGGCTCGAGGTGGGGCCAGAAATGAGGGGTTCAGAGTGCGGGAGAGGGCTCCATGCTGGGGCAGAGGGTTGGGGTGTGTGGCGGGGGTGAGGACTCCGGCTGGGGGTGTGGGCTCTGGGTTGGGGTCGGGGATGAGGGATTTGGGGTACAGGACGGGTCTGGGGCAGAGGATTTGGGTGCAATGGGATGAGGGCCAATACCCGACCGTCAGAAGGTGCAGGTACCTACCCCAATCAAGAAAAGTTATAAAAGGTCAAAGCAAAACTCCCCACCTAAATTATCCACTGTAGAAGCTGCCCAAACACGGGAGACACCGGTTCCTTTGAAAAAGGAAATCCCACATATAACTGTAAAGGAGGGAAAAAATCAACTTCTAAATCGGAACCGTCAGGATTGAGTCGTCATGTCTCTCCAAAGCAGTGTTTACAAATGTAAAAACACTAAATGCCATTGCAAACTAGGGAGAGCGAATCAAAAAAGGAGCTCCAGTTGCAGCACATGCAGCACATTGGGAAACAGCAGTAAAATTATTTTTTAGACAAAAAGAACTTGGTTGAGATTTGCCAGGTAACTGTAGACAGAGCTTTGTGAAATGCCACCAGAATTTCAAGCAGGAGAAAGCTCAGTTAAGGACACTGTGCGTCTGTTAGACCGGCACCCAGGGCAGTCGGGGTCACCCTGGTAGCTGACATGGAACAGCAGGAAGGTGAGTCCCTGCCTAAATTTCACACTAAACTTTCAGCAGCTTGGATCCCTAATTAAATGCCTGGAAAGGAAACACCCTCGATGTATTGATTCGTTAGTTAACAATTCTTTGCCAGTGGTTCAGGATAGAGTAATAATGCATGTACACCCCAATATGCAAGCACCTGTGCTGATCACTCCCGATCCCAGCAACCCGTATCACTGAGGGTACATCTACACTACAGCGGGGAGTCGATTTAAGATACGCAAATTCAGCTACGTGAATAGCGTAGCTGAATTCGACGTATTACAGCCGACTTACCCCGTTGTGAGGACGGCGGCAAAATCGACTTCTGCCGCTTTTTGTCGGCGGCGCTTACTACCACCTCCGCTGGTGGAGTTAGAGCGCCGATTCGGGGATCAATCCCCGAGAGGTCGATTTCTACCCGCCGATTCAGGCGGGTAGTATAGACCAGACCTTAGTGTCTCCCCCTGGCTCTATCAATTTAGAAGTAGCTCCTT